ATTACCAGTTAACAAAGAAAATATTTGAGATTAAGGTGAACACAATCTCACCATGGGGATCCCTAGAAAAAGTGAGTTCCCTTACTTTATATGGTAGTTAAAGACAGATAATAATTGAATTCTCTTTCCTCTAATTGTCTTAAACTTTGTACATTTTAACAGGAGCGTATATTTTCCTGCTATAGTCAACTGCGGGAAATTGGGATGCTAGAATCAAAGACCCCTAACTCTTTGATTACTCCAAATATGCTGTCGACGCTCTTAAGTTCCACAGGTGTTCTTGAGAGTTCTTCACTCTCCACTGCAGGCAGTAAGAGAACACTCACCTATCCGGACTGTGATCAAGATTGTCCTGTGCAGAAAATTCCTCGATTATGCTGATCAGCACAAGTTTTATCTAATACAGAGAGCATTTATTTGTGTTTTTCATTGCACAGTAGTGAAGTCTTGGAGTTGGATGATGAAATTGGATTTTAGGCTTTAATGAAAGCGAAAAATACCAACATACGGTATGCTTTGTAGTTGATGGGGGGCTCCATTTTCCAGTATTTGGCAAGTCTTAGGTAGTGACAACCAAGTAAATATTGAAAGGTGAAATTTGCATAAATAAATAGAAGAATGGCTTTAGCAAGTGGAGTATTAATGCCGTTTGGTGAGGAATTGAGAGCCAAAGAAATGTTCATTTGTTGATAGACTTTTTTCAGTAGTGTTTGGTTTTTTGAATGCTACAAGAGTTTCTTACTTTTCGAATTTTTCTCTTTATTTATTTCCTTCATTCTTTTCTGTTGATCCTTGTGACTTGTTTTATGCTTTGCATTTTGCTGCGAGTCTTGAAATGCTACCTATGCCTTAAGAGACACTAAAAAGGTGTTCGATGTCATACATCCACGTCGCATGCATACAAAAATAGTTGAGCTAAACTTTTACGTCTTACATTTGGCATCTTTTGCTTTCTTGGCCACAGCCTAGAGTTGCCATCCCCATCTAGTTATTCACCGTTCATTCCTTTGGGTTTGGACCCTTTTCATGAACTACCTTCATCTTCATTTTCAATTCTAGTCTCACCAGCCATTAGGCGCTTATCTTCTAACTCCAAAAGTAATGTTCCCAACGAAGTGCACAGTTTAATTGTTCATCTGGTTTTCTCTCATACGATCCCAAGATTCTTGCAGTGAATGAAACTTGAGGGCATTAAGCTTACTATCATAGCGGTACATTATCCTCCAAAGTTGTCCCATAGGATGGTACAGGTTTTAAATGTAGGAGTCAAACTTCATGTTCAAATTCCTTAGCTTGGCCAAAGTGACCGCTCCAATCAGTCCTGAAAACTTCCCAAAAAAGGAACAGATAAAACATACTAGGTTCTGTGCAAAGCTAGTATGTGGTTGTGGTTGTCGTTTCATCAAAAGTCTCCATGGTATCTTGTTGGTAGGATGAAGAGAAAGCAAAGCTTTTACAGCCCCTCTGAAAGACACAAACATATGCTTGTCCATATGTAAAGAAATTGATAATTCTTACATGAACTTCCTGATTGTTAAAGGGATACGCTCTACCTAGCTAATAAAATTAACACTCAGGAACTTTGGTAAGAAGGGAGGCTTGTGCTGTTCTCGTAACTTGAACTCAATTAAGATTAATTGAAGGTAGCTTACTTTGGAGATCCTCGGCCATGCACTTGCCTTGTATCGCTTGGAAGTCAATAAAACAACGGAAAATGGGATAGAATTTACTATATGGGTTCAAGAACTTGTTGCTGCATTGAAGGCAAAATAATTTGGAGAGATATAATCTGAAAATGTACTTCTTATTTGCCTTGAAAAATACTACAATATGTGGTCCTATTTATACACATCGAGATGACATAAAAACCATCAAAACATTTTAATTCACTAGACTAGATTCAACTATGGAGCTTTGAAGATACTTGACTAGATTTACATACATGTACAAAAAATTCACTAAAGAACATTATTTATTTAAGTCGTTCCCGACGAGGATTTGAAACATAATATTAATCTATAATAAAATTTAGATCGATTTTCTCAGCAAGTTCTCTTTCTATAAAAAGTATCATTCAATCAGCAAGAAAGTCATCTTCCATTTTGTTGCGAAATGTCTTCTTCATATGTTTCATTACTGAAAATGCTCACTCAGTGCTTACAGTNTAAGTCGTTCTCGACAAGGATTCGAAACATAATATTCATCTATAATAGAATCTAGATCGAGTTTCTCAGCAAGTTCTCTTTCTATAAAAAGTATCATTCAATCAGCAAGAACGTCATCTTCCATTTTGTTGCGAAATGTCTTCTTCATATGTTTCATTACTGAAAATGCTCACTCAGTGCTTACAGTAGGAATAGGTAATGTCAATACAAGACGAATCAATCTAGTTACCATAATGTAACTTTCCGACCTTCCACTCTCAATCAATTGTCTGCATAACTCAGCAAGTGTAGATAATTGAAATTGAGCCTCACCTTTCATATCTAACTCATAATGTGGTAACTCAAATTGTAATGTAATAATATCTTGTTTTGAAAAATCTCGAGGATAGAATTTCTCTGCAAGTGTGCAAATTTTAGGACTGTCAAATGATCTAAATGAATCTTTAGGATCCAAAGCAGCACTGAGAGAAAGGAGTTCAACTGATATGTCATTAATCTTGTAATATAGAGTTCTTTTTGAAGAAAACCATTCAAAAAAGCTGATTTCACATCCATTTAAAACAACTTCCAACCATTTTGGGCAGCAAGAGAAATAATCAATCAAATTGTATCAAGTCTAGAAACAAGAGCAAATACCTCGCTGTAGTCTTCGCCTTCTTTTTGCTTGTATCCCTTTGCAATCAATCTTGCTTTGTATTTGTTGATGGAACCATCTGGATTGGTCTTTGTTTTGAACACCCATTTTACACCAATCGAAGATTTGTGCGAAGGTAAAGTAGTAAGCTCCCACGTACCATTTTTTTTATTGCATTGATTTCTTCATTCATGGCTTGAATCCACTTTTCTTCTTTTGAAGATTCTTCATATGTAACTGAATCTTCACCTACAAAGAATGCAAAGAATACCAGATTTGCTTCATTCGTTTCTTCAGTTTGCTTGTAAATTTCTCTCAAACTTCTTGTCCTTCTTCTAGCCGTTGATGGTGAATTTTGAGGAGATTCATTTCTTTGATCAACCTCATGTTGTGATGGTTGAGATTCATTCTCTTCAAAATCAAGAATCTGCCAATTTGAGGAACTTGAAAATTTTGAAAAATCATAAGAAGC